GTCTGTGCGCACAGGTGGGGGCCGCATGTTGGTCCGTCGGTGCATCTCACGGAGGGGAGTCCTTGTCTCCCCCTCATGAGCGGTGCTGCGGTGGACAGGGGGTGCAAGTGCCCCGACCGAGGGCTTTCACGTCCTTCACGAGCGCACGTGGGGTCGGTCTGTCTGGACTAGGTCCCCGTGGCTGCTGGAAACCAGGTCTGCTTTGACCTGACAGAGACGCTTTCTGTTTCTCCCGCTGTCAGAGGGCAGACGCCGGCCCTGGCGGGTCGGGGGCTTTCTCTGTTCCCTGTTTCCTTCGATCGTCATCTATCTCTGCATCAAGCAGCCAAAAGAGGGAGGATTCCAGCCCGTGTGCCGCGGGCTCACCAGCGGAGCACCCTGAGTTGGAGCCCCTGGAGGAGAGGGAGTGACAGCCCGGGCTGGGGGCGGGGTCTGGGCGCTGGGGCCCCTCCCCCATCCGGAGCCGCCCGAAGGGGAACAGTCAGGCAGCCTTCCCGATGCCTCTCCGCTGAGCCCCAGGCTCCTGGGCTCAGGGCCGACCTGCCCCTCGGCCGTCTGAACGCTGAGGCGTCTGCAGCATTTGTGTTTTCTGGCTCCCGGGGACTCGCTGGGAGCGGATGAACAGAAGCTGCAGCTGAAGTGAGTCCGTAAAGGCGCCGTCCCCTGGTGGCGCGGTCGTAGGGGAGGCCCCTGGTCCGGCCAGTCCGCGCCAGACCCGGCTGCGGGGCCCGCCGCCCTTCGCGGGGTGTGGGGCCCGCGCCCGCCGCGGCGTGAGTGAAACTCCGGCGCCGGCTCCGCCGCTGCTCCCGAGCGGGGCTCGCTCCGTCTCTGCGCTCCCCCCTCCCGACTTTGCCGCCGCTCCCCGTCGGGGCGCTCGGGGGGAGGGGGGGGTTGGCGGACCCCCTCAGCGGGTCTGATGTCGCCGGGGACGTGCAACGAGGCCGCAGGCGGGCAGCGTGCGAGCTCTGAGCCAGGACGGCGGCCGGGCCCGGGTGGGGGACGGGGAGACCTGCCGCCTTCCCCCCCGCCCCCGCGCCCTGGGTCCGAGCGGCTCGTGTTGGGAACTGTCCCGGCTCAGGGGCGGCCCCGATTCCCCCTCCCGCGGGACCCCAGATTCCCCGCGGGAGAGGCCGGGGTGGGGAACCCAAGGCCGAGTTTCCTCGTGCGCGGCTCGTAACACGCCGGCTCAGGAACTGGCCCGTGGGGTGCGTGCCCTGGCGCAGGTCACGCCGGCGAGGGGGACCCGAACTGGATCTACGACTTTCTGGGAGGACTGGACACTGCCCACGTTGTCCCCGGGCCTCCGAGGAGCCTGGCGGGCGGAGTGCCTGACTGTACAGGAAGTGGGGTGAAACTGACACTTGCTGTTTCCGACCAGAGGCGGGTGGGGGTGGGGAGTAGCGGTGGCTGCAACTCCAGGGCGTGGGGGCGGGGCTGCGGGTGGGAGGAGCGCTGGCTCCCAGCCCAGGGCGTGGCCCTGGAAGTGCAGGGACGGGAGCAGGGACCCGCGCCTAGGGGACGGTTGCTGGTGTTGCTAAAACCAAAACCAAAGTCGCCTTTTCCGGGGATGGGCAGGGATTTTCTTTTAAGAAGCCTTTATTTACCCTGGCTTGCGTAGCTCAGTGGGTTGAGCGCGGGCTGCGAACCAGGTATTGCGGGTTCGATTCCCAGTCCCGGCACATGGCTAGGTTGCAGGCCATGGCCCCCAGCAAACTGCACATTGATGTTTCTCCGTCTCTCCCTCCCTTCCGTCTCTAAAAATAAATAAATAAAATCTTTTTTAAAAAGCCTTTATTTAATAAAAATCAACTCTTGAGGGAACGGGCGAACACCTGTTTCTGGATGACTTGGGCTCGTGTGCGTCCTGAGGGTTGGTAGTGAGCTGGGGACAGACCCCCAGGTGCTCTGGCATCTCCTCAAGCAGAGGCCGCAGGGACCAGGTCGGGGTCCCTTCACAGCCTCCCCTCTGTGTGTCCCCCTTCACACGGTCCTACATCAGCAGAGACTGTGACCTGGACCTTGTCATCCAGTACAGCCCGTGCCAGCCTGGCTCCTTCACCACCGACCGACACCCAGAGACTGCGTGCCTGCCCTGTGCTGAATGCCAGGAGGGTGAGTGGGCGCAGTGAACTTGGGGGCCCTTTGGTTCCCACAGCCCGCTCTGCAGCGACCTGGCTCCTAGGAATCACCCCAAGGGCAGGTGTCACAGGTGAACAGGACGGCAGGGTGAGCAGGACGCGTGTCTGCAAGGATGACATGGAGTCTGTGGTGAAAGGGTCCCCCTGAGGCCCCCGGGGATTCAGAGCCACTGTCCGAGAGAGGAATGCACAGGGTTCACCCGCACCTCTGCGTGTCCCACAGTCTGGGAGGAGGCTGGGATTCTGCCACCTTCCCACCCCGCGCTCCCGCCACTGGGGCAGCGACCCAGCCCACAGTCCCGAGCACTTGGGGGGGGACTTAAATCCGAGCAGGGGTCAGGCCAGGTAGGAAGGCCGCAGTCTCCCCCCAGCACAGATGTCTGCCTCACTGAGGAATAAACCGCAAGGCATGGACAATAAATACACTTCAGGATTCCTGGTTGTCTTTCTCATAGGAAGGCCATCGGCGTTTCAACAAGGACAGCCTGAGTCTGGGCTTGGCTTTGGGCAGCGAGGACGGTGTGACAGAGTTGCTCCTGCCGACCCTGAGCTCAGTGTGTCCCCCGTCGCGTGTCCCCTCTTCGTCTCCTTTCTCGGTTCCTCGAGCCGTCAGGGTGCAGGCTGTCCGCTCTCTGGTTGACCTTGTTCCCGGGTGGTTTCTGCTTTTGGACGCAACCGCAGGAGGGGCTGACGACACCTCCCTCTGGTTACCTGTCACTGCTGCACGGAAGTGCACCCGTTTCCACGTTGTGTCCTGCGACCTCACTGCCTTCATTTCCACATTCTCACGGGACTTTGTGGGTCCTCAAACGGCCCTACGTACCGCGTCCTGCCGTCTGCGAGCGGTGCGAAGGCTCCTCCTCCCTCTGATGTGCTTGCTGTTTGTCTCTGTCTCACGTGACCGCTGTTGCTCGGACTCCCAGTGCTCTGGGGCGGGGAGGTGGTGAGAGTGGGCGTCTGTCTTCCTCCTGATCGGAGAGAGGGAGCTTTTGGCTTCTCACCGTTGCGTGTTGTGTCATGGTGTGTCTAGAAATTACGTTTCTTTGTTTTTTTTAAGATTTATTTTATTTCTATTTAGAGAGAGGGAAAGGGAGGGAGAAGGAGGGAGAGAAAGACATCTGTGTGTGGTTGCCTGGTATATGCCTTCTACTGATGACCTGGCCCACAACCCAAGATTGTGCCCTAAGTGGGAATCGAACCAGCCACCCTTTGGTTCCCAACCCTGCACTCAGTACACTAACCCCCACAAGCTAGGGAAGGAATTATGTTTTTATAACACGTTTATATTCATAATTATAACAAAATTGGATGCAATTTATACACAGTGCTCTTGCAGATTTTACTATAATGAACAGCATTAAATGTCAATTTTTATATTATTGCCAGTTTCTCTTTAAAAGCTATTCCTGCCAGTGTAATCTTTGGTGCTATGGATAAAACTTTTTCAGGGCATTTGGTATACAAGGAGTGACCCAACCAAAAACGAGAAAAAAAATAAACAAACCAGCAGTTACCTTCTGGAGGGTGGGCCCCTTGTAGTCCAGGCTTCCCCACTAGGAGAGAAAGATCTAGGAGTGACCAGCTGGCGTTGTTGTGAGAGGCTGTGTTGGGCTTTACTGAATTTTTTTGACGACTCTCCCAGAGCACTGGCCCATTTCACAACAGGTGACTTATTAGCCCACCTGCCCACCTGCACTGAGTGTTCAGTAGTTTTTTTTAATAGTTTATTTTTTTTAGATTTTATTTATTTATTTTTAGAGATGGAAGGGAGGGACATAGAGAGAGAGAAATATCAATGTGCGGTTGCTGGGGGTCATGGCCTGCAACCCAGGCATGTGCCCTGACTAGGAATGGAACCTGCGATACTTTGGTTCGCAGCCCGAGCTCAACCCACTGAGCTACGCCAGCCAGGGCTGTGTTCAGCAGTTTTTGACCAAATCCCACGTGCCCCACCCTCCATATACCCCCGATCTCACCCAGTGGGACTGTTTTTCTTTCCCACATGAAAAGAGTCCACAAAGGGAAAGAAACAACCTGTAAAACATGACACGTAAGACGAGAAACAAAATAGCAGAAGCTCTAAGAGGTGTCAGAGCCGCCGAGTCCAGAGAGTGTTCAGGGCAGTGGAGGGACGTCCCCACTGGTGTCCCTTATCCAGGGGGGAGCATGTGAGGGTGACCAAAGATTAAAGCTGTGAGAATAAAAACAGTCTTGATAAATAGATTCTGTTTTTGGGTCGCCCCTGTGTACATGTGGCCAAATGCATCCACAGGGGTTCACATTCACGGGAAACACAGGATGTAATTCCCATTCTGAGTTATTTAAATTTCATTCCTTTAGGTTTTAAGTTGGTGTGTGATAGGAGTAAAAACCAGTAAATATCCTTCAAAATATTGTGGAAATGTGTCCCCCACTCTGGAAATTTTTAATCTTTAAATCATTGAGATTTTTATTATTAATTATTAATTAATTAATTAATTTTAATTTTGTTCAAGTACAGTTCTCTCCATTTCCCCTGAATCACTGCTCCCCAACCAAGCTATCCCCTAAAACAGTCAGATAATTTAAAACCCAGAGTGCAAAGTCCGTGGGCTTCTGCCCTGGGTGACAGGGAACCCCATGGGAGCAACAGAGCAGGAGGGAGGAGACGGGGCGTGACAAGCTGGCTGCCGTGCAGAGCGCGGCCTGCAGGGGGCAGCAGCGGAAAAGGGGACTCAGAGCCCAGGGGCTTGGCTTCCTCAGAGGGTGGTGCTGGGGGCGGGCACCTGGCTGGGGCAGGGAAGTGAGGGCAAGTGGGGGGCTTCTGAGCAGGTTCCCACAGGAGAGCCGGGTGCTCCCTGCTGGTGAGGGATAAGGTACCTGCATTACCGGCCTACGTTTCATGGCTGATTTCCATGGAGGGATCCAAGGGGAAGAGACCCCCAGGGGACATTTGCAGAGGAGGCTCTCGGGTCCCCAGTGATGGCGGTGGTGCCCGGGTCGGCCCTGGGCAGGCAGCCTCTCCACGTGGAATCCTCCTCCTCCTTCCAGGTGGTCCCTGCTGCCCAGCCCCTGCTGGCCTCTCTCTGTGCACAGCAGGTCAGGATGGGGAGGTGCCTGGTGCCCCGTCTGCCTGCCCTCCCTGTGTGCCTCGCCGTGTTCCAGCTGCTCAGCCCCTGCTCAGGTAGGACCGGCTGTGCGTCTGTGTGTCTGCATCCTTTCCCTTAGGGCCCAGCCAGAACCCGGGACTCCGCCCACCCCTGCAAGGCCTGACCACACCCCACCTGTATAAGGGCTGATATACCATCTAGGTGTCTGTCACCTCACCCTCCCTTCCTGGGACACCCCCTGGCCCTCTGACCCTGCTCACTCTGACGGACCCCCCCCTCCTGATGACCAGCTGAGTTTGCTGTGGTCGGACCCCCCGAGCCCATCCTGGCCATGGTGGGTGAAGACGCAGACCTGCCCTGTCACCTGTCCCTGGAGATGAGCGCTGAGAACATGGAGCTGATGTGGGTGCGACCCAGCCGCAGGCAGGTAGTGCACGTGTACGCACACGGGCAGGAGGACACGCCGGCAGAGCAGTTTCGAGGGAGAACTTCGATTTCACGAGAGGACGTCACTGCGGGGAAGGCCGCTCTCCGGATTCGCAGCGTCAGCGTCTCAGACAACGGAACCTACCTGTGTTATTTCCAAGATGGAGGCTTCTATGCAGAAGCCCAGGTGGAGCTGCAGGTGGCAGGTGAGCCTCAGGCTTGTTCCAGGCTCCTTTCCCTGGGCGGGGGCAGAGGCTGCAGACCTACCCCAGAGCACGTGGGCTGCTCACCGGCACCCGCCCCCACCTCCATCTCTGCTCCTCTGAGGCCCGTGACACACCCAGGTGTCACCCAGGTTGACTTCCTCCTGCACCCAGGACAGAGTCCCCCATGCTGCCCACCAGTCTCAGCAGGGGAGTGGAGGTGGGGGATGGGAAGGAGGAGGACACCTCCCCGCAGTGGGTGGCACGTGGGTGTTTGGGTTCAGTGTGATCCACACCAAGGCCGTGGGACCCCCCCAGGGGCCCTCTGTGGTGGGCCCAGGGGTCTGACCTGTAGGGACAACACCTGTGGGGCCCAGGTCCTCTGCCAAACCCCCGGGAACACAGCTGCAGTTGAACAGGTTGTGTCCGTCCTCGGTGCAGCGAGGGAGGACGCTCCCCTGGGGACGGGGACACCGGGGTGACTCAGAGAGGGGGCGTCAGGGAGGACTCGGTGCGGTTCGGGGGGGTGTGGAAGCAGCGCTGGGCTCTGGGTGGGACGCGGTCAGGATGGTGGGGGTGTCACTGGTCACTGACAGCCGGCACAGGGAGGTGGGTCACCGCACACGGTTCCTGTTTCCTCTGTGCTGTCACCCACCCTTGAGTGGCCTTGATGTGGCCCTGACCCACCCCAGTGACGAAGCGCCTTGTCTGAGGTGCTGCCCCAGGAACGTGCCAGTGTCCAGTCGTCAGGGCTGCAGTTCAAGTTCTGTGGACACAGCCCTGCCCTGTCGCTATGAGTGAGTGGGGGCTGGTGGAACAGGGACGGTGTTGTCCCCTGGTCTTCTCCCCATTAGGGTTCCTCCTGAGCCTGCTGTCCCTTCCTGCAGACCTGGGCTCCCCTCCCGGAGCCGTCCTACAGGACTCTGTGTGTTCAGGTCCTCAGAGGGCTGCCTCCCCCTCCGTGTGTTCAGGGGCGTGGGGACAGGTGGTAGTAACTCCCCGCTTCCTGGCCCTGTGTCCGCTGTCTCCGTGGGAAAGGTTCCCCTCTGCACAGCCTTGCTGGGGACACTTCCGGGGGGAGACCCTGGAGGGAGAGCCCAGCAGCCCGACAGTGAGGGCAGCAGCAAGAGCCTCACGAGGGGCCTTGCATACGAGTCACCGCTCGGGCGGCCACAGGACACGGTGTATCTCCTCCTACTCACAGGAGGGCACGGCCCCCACAGGTCAGGCAGGGACAATGGTGTACAACCCACTTAGGCTGAGGGGCACCACCTGCATGCTTGCCCAGGGAGGGGTGAGGGGCTGTGCCAAGGACCAGCCTGTCTGGGGCACGGGGGAGGGGAGGCTGCGGCAGTCTCTAAGGGGACTTGGGGGAAGCAGCCTCTGCTCTGGCCCAGAGCCCCCTGGATCCAGCACGAGGGTCCAGCCAGGGTCAGGCAGTGGCCCCATCGGGGATCAGTCTCTGCTGCCCAGCACATGCTGGGAGCAGCTCCTGGTGAGTCCCTGCTGGGCTGGTCAGTGTGTGCACCCCTCCCTGGTGAGGACACCCCACCAGTACAGAGGGTTCCCCACAATTCAGCTCACTTCTCCTCCCCAGCACTGGGCTCTGATCCCCTCATTGACGTGAAGGGCTACGAGACTGGAGGGATCCGTGTGAACTGCACGTCTGCCGGCTGGTACCCGCAGCCCCAGATCCAGTGGAGAGACGCCAGAGGACACAGCTTGTCCTCGGAGGTAACATCTGCGGCTGCAGACCCCCAGGGCCTTTATGCAGCCTCAGCCTCTGTGATCCTGGAAGGCGGCTCTGGGGAGGGGGTCTCCTGTGTCATCAGAAGCCTCCTGCTGGGCCTGGAGAGGTCAGCCAGGCTGTCCATTGCAGGTGAGTGCCCTGCCCCCTGCCCTGGGCTCCCGGGTGGTCCCTGGGGGAAGGCACAGGGTTAGCTGCTGACCTATGTGCCTGGGGTATGAGGGCACGAAACAGGGACCTGGGGCTCCTTCCCCTGAAGCGGTTCATGTCAAAGACACCTTCTGAGCACTTCCTGCCACACACGGTGCCAGGCAGTGGGATGTGGGGACAGAGGGGAAAGTTCAGCAAACACACCAGGAGGGGAAACAGGGACAACCCAAATCTCAGTGAAAGGGCTAATCTTCTTACTATGTAAAGGAACACAGTGGATAAAAGAGCAAAAACAGGAGTCATCAGTTCCCAGGAAGGTAAAACTCCCAGGAGGATGACAAATTTCTTGGAACAGGGAACTATTTCCACCTGTGAATTTGGCAGCCGCAGGACAAACGAGGTGGTGGGCGCCCTCTGGTGGCGGGCTGTGGGGAGGCAGCCCCGTAGCCGTCAGTGCTCCAGGTGTTGGACGGTGTTCCTGGGGGTCGGCCCCCGTGCTGTGGGGGCGCAGGGCCGTCAGCACCCGAACTGCGCACTGACTGATGCAAACCCCACTTCTGGGGACCACCCCACGGGCCAGCCTGCAGCGGTGGGACGTGACGCCTGTCACCGGGTATTTTCAAACCAGTGACCACGGGACAAAGGGCAGAGCCTGGGGTGCCCACCAGAGGGGACCCGGTGCACAGTGGGTGCTGCCCTGTGGGAGAGACACGGGCCTGCGGGCTGTGCTGGAGCGGGCAGGTCGCTGAGACACAGGACGGGACAGACACCTGCACACCAGCCGCATAGGGGCCTGATTTCGCCATCACCAAGATGAAATATAATATTCCATTTTTAAAACTGAATGAAACCTGCGTGGCACTCACCCTGCGTCAGGCACTGCGTAAGCACTAAGTTAATGCTCTCCCTGGTCATGACGCAGCAACAGACGGTTACGTCATTAGTTCAAGGTCACAGCGCTGGTCGGGCAGGAGACCCGGGACTGGAACCCAGGCCCCCAGCCCCAGAGTCTGTTCTTCATCACCAGACTCCGCTGACTGGGGGGACAGGTAGTCAGTGGGGGACGGGGTGCAGAGGGGACGTCAGTGACACTGTGTGTGCGTCCTCGTGCTCCATCTCATCCCATGGGGCGCGGAGACGTTTCAGGAAAACCGTCCTGACTGTGTGACAGTGAGAGTCTGGGCGCTCTGGGGACAGGAGGATCACATCAGGGGTTGACGCTACCCCTTCGCAGGTGCCTTCTTCAGGGACACACAGCCTTGGACGGTGGTGCTCCTGATCGTGCTGGGTATCGCGCTGGTCGTGGTGGTGGTGGTGGTGGTGGTGGCGGTGGTGTACTTGCTGTGGCGACACTGGAAGAGGAGCCAGGTGCCGTCTCAGGATGAGGGGAGAGAGCACGAGGTGAGAAGGAAGCAGCGGGCGCAGAGCTGCGCGGGGGGCGCCGAAGGTTAGGCCCAGCTGCTGGTGGTCGGCACCGCCCTGCTCCACCCATGCCCACCAACCAGATCCTCCTCTGCATCTCCTAGACCGGACTTTCTTTTTCTGTTTATTCCCATTCCCAGAGACGCTGCAGGACCAGCTCGGTAAGCCCCCATCCCCGTCCCTGTGCATCCCCAGCCTGCGCAGCTCAGCCTTTCGGGCGGCGTCCGCTCCCCCCACTAGAGCCCGGAGCGGCCATGCTGGGGAAGACCCCACTCTGCTGGCCTAGACCTCGGGGTGCACAGGGGGGCGCAGAGGGCACGGGGCTTGTACGGCTTCCCGGGGCTGCGAAACGTCCTCCCCACCTCGGGGCTGAAAGACACAGAACTGACCGTGTCCCGGATGTGGAGGCCACAAGTCTGATCCAGGTGTTAGGTCGAGGGTAGGGGTGGCCCGGCTTCCTCCAAGGCCCTGGAGGCAGGTCCCCCCGCCCCTGCACTCACCTTGTCTTGGGTGGCCAGCTCTCCCGGGTGCTCCTTGGTGTGAGCGCCCATCAGTCAGCACCGGCCTCGGTCCTCACCCGGCCTCTTCCCTGTGGGTCTGTCTCCCGATGACCCTCAGTGGACACTGGACGTAGGGCCCACTCTCGCCCAGTACGGCTCCCTCGTCTGCAAAGGCCACATTCCCAGGTCCCAGGGGTCTGGATGCAGCCCTGTCTTGCTGGGTTCAAACACAGCCCCCCTGTCTCGGACTCCCTGCAGAGTTGGGGGGCCACCCTGCACCTGACCCCACGAAGTACTTTACTCTGCTACCGCATGGCCCCAGCTGAGCTGCCAGACGAGGTGGCATTTTTCCCAGAAGCGGTTGCGGAGGGCTGCGCTGCAGGCCCCTGCCACCAAAGGTCACGGCTTTCTTTTTCAGTCACAGGGAGGCACCCAACCCAGGGTGAATCTGCTGCCCGAGGATGCAGAGCGGGGCCCACCAGCTGCCGGCGCGGACCCCAGACCACTGCTGCAGCAGCAGGGCGCAGCCGTGCGGTCCCCTGAGGACTCTGAGGCCAGTATCGAGCTGCAGGCGGTGGTGCCCGCAGGGGGCATGGCCAACCCACAGCAGGCGCTGCACACCCAGGTGCCTTCAGGGGGTGGCAGCCCCCATCCACACCTCAGAGAAGGTGAGCGGCATCTGGGTAAGCGTGACAGCAAGGACCCCTGTGTCTGTGGCGCACGTGCCGTGTGCGTACAGGGGGTGCACAGTGCTGCCCTGCGTGCCCTAACTTCCCGTCTGAGTTTCCCCAGTGACCGAGACGCAGCCCCACAGACCAGGCAGCTTAAAGGACAGAATGTTACTGTCTCCCTGTGCTGGGGCCTGATGTTCAGGTTCCCGAGGCGTTGTCCCCCTGTGCATGTCTGTGTCCCTAAAAGAGGACACTGGTCTTGTTGTGTTGCGGCCTCATTTGGACAGGTCATGTCTACAGCGACCCAGTTCCCAGACAAGGCCGCACTCCTGGCTGCTGGGCTTAGGACGCCCACATCTTTGGGGACAGAGTGCAGTCTGTGACAGACCCCACCACACCTGTTGTCTGAGGGAACGGTGGCTCCCCAGGGCCACCGAGACCCAGGGACTGATCTCTCCCAGGTCCCAACGCTGGGAGGGCGCTGCCTGGTGGAGGCCCGGGTCATGAGCACTGACCCCTCAATCTCCAGCGCGCACCGGCCTCCGAGGTCTTGTGGCCCCAGCACCTCCTGTGTGCCGCGTGTGTCATCGGGAGTGGGTAGGACCGGAGGCAGGGTGCACACACGGCGCCACGTGTCCCTGTGGGACAGAAGCTGGCCCCACGACCAGCTGTGCCCGGGGGAGACTCACTGTCCTCCAGGCCATGGAGACTCACAGCCTCCATCGGGGGGCTGTAACGAGGCCATGGCAGCTGAGTAGAGACTTCACGGACTAGTAGACGTTCCTTACGGGGCCCTGGGGAGGAGGACCCTTCAGGAAGGGGGACAGTGTGCACAGGGTGTCGGAAGGGTGCAGAGCCTGTCCAGCATCCAGTGCAGGCTGGGGTCCCTCCAGGGCAGGGCAGCGGGAAGCCCAGTGTCGCCCCGGCCCAGGCTGTGTCCTGGGGAGTGTGACCCAGAGGGCGGCTGGGCTGTGAACTCTCTGCCCCTTCTGAGAGGCCGGGCCCCGTCCCCAGACACTGACTGGACACCGTGTAGAGGCACCTCTGCACCCCGCCCACCCAAACTCGGGTGGCTCTGTTTCCTTGGATTTTGCCAGGAAGTTGCCCCGGTGTCTCGTGCTGGAACAATTTTATTTGCTTTTCTCTGCAGGAATATGAACAGGTGTGTTTTGAAGGACGGGCCTCATGAGGTTAAGTCCCCCAAAACCTTCCTTTGTAGTGACTATTGAGGTGTGACCTCACGACCCAACGTCCTCCCTTCTGGGAAGTGGGACCCTGGGCCCCCAGGCAGCTCAGGGACATCCCGTGGGCATCAGACTCTCCGTCCAACACTCACCGCACAGTGAGGGCACCCGGGTGTCCGTCCAGTGTCACTTCTGGCCGTGAGGACAGACTCGGGGCGGCCCTGCGTTACTGCACATCCACGGGTTTGAGCAGGAACGTGAGTGGCCGGTAGGAAGGCGTGGGTGACCCTGGCCTGGTGAGGCCCCGGGGACTGCGGCGCTGCTGTCAGTGGGACGGGGGTGAGGGTTTCCTGCGGCGCCAGCGACAGGCCGCGTGCTGCTTGTACTCTCGTCCTCTGACAGCTCAGGGAGACCCCCCACGTGGCAGATCCAAAAGTCAGACAGCAGGAGCCCAGCGAGGTTACAGACCTCGTCCCTGCTGCCCGCACAGCCGCTCTGGTCTGCTGTTCAGCAGGGGGCCGCCTCAGTGGACACCTCACCCCGGGGGCTTCCGCCCCTCGGGCCCCGCAGGCCTCTCTGCCGGGCTCCCTGGTTCCGTGTGAATGAGCGTCAGGCCTGTCAGGAGCCCGGCCAGTTCCCGTCCTACCGCGCTCTCCTGTCCCCCTGCCTGGTCCCTTCTGCGAGGGCAGCCTGGGCGCCCAGGGCCTCCTGCGGACCCTGGACCTGGTTACCAACTGGGACCCTCAGAGCGCACAGCACATGCCACGCCTGCCTTCCAGGGACGAGGCCAAGTCTCCCTCCGTGATTTTCTCTTTTCAGCCACGAACAGGATCTACTCCGAATGCGGGCAGGAGGTTCCCAAATCTACCTGGAGGAGGTTCATGAGGTTCACAGGACTGGAGGAGAACGACCTTGTCGACCGTGTTGTGAGCACGGGGACCCAGGGACCCTGACGGAGCAGCACCAGAGGACGCAGCCGCGCTGGCAGAGCGAGCTGGGGCGCACCGAGTCCCCCTGCGGGCTCGTGGCGGCCCTCCGTGAGATGCGGCTGCGGGAGCGTCTGTAGAATGTTACCATCGACCTGGTGCTGAAGATATCTTAGGTCATGAGGACGCAGAGCCCCGAACTGGAGTCAGCTCTTTCGGCAACAGCTGCGACGTAGCAGCATCCTTGGTGCTGACCTTCCCCAGGTCCCTTCCCGTGGGCGCCTTCACAGATCCCAGGTGGGACGGAGCCCCTTCCGTGTCCAAGGAGCTTCTTCTGGAAGCTTCTGATGGGGAGGACCATGCCAGCCGGGGGCTCTCTGCCTACAGCCCATGTGGCCTACAGGCTGCCCCTCAGGGAATCCTGAGCTGCTTGGAAAGGGACCCACAGGCTGTGCTTGGTGGGCCCACGAGCCGTGGCCTCCTCCAGAAACACAGGCCAGGAGGGCTGGCTGGTCGGTCACGTGTGTGACCCCAGCAGCTCTCTTGTCCATCTCTCAGGCACTGTGATGTCCCTGGCTTCCACTTGGGAGCGCCATACCAGGGTGACACTTAAGTCAGTCTGTGACAGACAAACCAGCAGGCACTCAGCTGTCACTAGGTTAGCTGGGGTGGGACATGGGGACAGTCACATGCCAGCTATGGAGGCCTTTCTACAGTTCTTTACATATTTAAGCATAGGTGCTTTTACAGTTTTATTTATGTGTTAAAATTTCTCTAACATAATGTGTTCACATTTGTGAAACTTTTTAACCCAGTAAAATTTATATTCTAAATGGTGCTGCCTCTCATTCCTGTTGGGTGGACAACTTCGGGTGTGTTGTCCTTGGAAGGTGATGTGGTGCACAGAGAGTCAGGGGAGCTGAGGGTGTGGTTTGTGGGTGCAGGGCCCCGAATCGGGGAACAGAGACTGGAGTAGTCTCTTGTCCGGGTTGTGGAGTCCCCGGGGCCTCTGTCCCTGGGAGTGACAGCGCGGTCCGGCCAGCGTTCCCCTGAGAACGCGCCCGCCCTGCCCCATCCTCACTCGCCCCGAGCAGCACCCGTCCTTGGAGGTGCTCACCCGGGTCCCCGCACTCCCGTAGGGCACCGAGCACCTTCAGCTCCCACGCAGTCCCTCGGCGAAGTCCACGCCACTCCAGCCAGCCTGTCCCGTCCACACCCTTGGGGGTCATCCCCACAGGCATCTCCTCCCGAGTCCCCCCGCCCCAGGGTGTAAGGATCCCCTGTCCCTCCCAGACCTGTGTGCCAGCCCCCTAGGTCCCGCCTCCCTCCATGCTGCTGCCCGTCACTGACTCAGCTTCTGTCCACTCTGGCTCCCCTCCGGCCTCCCAGAGTCTAGTCTCCTCCACTGCAGCTGGACTGGGGGTGGGAGCACAGATCTGGCCTCCACCCTCCCCGCCCTGGGGAGGGTCTCTGCCATTCCTGATTCGTTTAGGGGAACTGGCAGCCCCACCCCGCACGTCAAGTCCCAAACTCTGGCTGGCGTTGCTGCATGGGTCCCGTGGTCACGCTGAGTTTGTCAGCATCTTGCCTTCTCCTGGGGTCCCTCCCAGGACAGTCCTCTCTGCCTAAAACGCACGACCCCCTGTCCACCCCCAGTCCCTTCCTCTCAGTCTGCTTGGAACTGGTCTTCTGTCGGGGCCAGCCCATTGCAGCCCCGGGGCGGATCTCTGACCGGATCTCTGACCGTCTAGCTGGGGATTGTCCCCACACCACGGGGGTCATGCTGACTTCAACAGCCATGCAGGAGATGACCTGTCCCTGAGGCCTGCGTCTCCATAGAGGGACTTCGACCTCTGCCCCTCGCCCTGTGCGGGACCTCATCAAGGGACTGTCCTCCCCAGCACCCTGCGTGATCCCAGGGACAATGCTCCAGTGCACCGGCCCACGTCCACCTATACACCACAACTCCCAGCATGCCGGGGGACGGTGGTGTTGAAGCCTGAGGCGGTTCCCTAGGCAAACCAGGGCGGGGAGGGGTGGGGCAGGACTTTCAGTCCCACCAAGCACACCAGATTCTGGGAATGAGTCCCTGTGGTTTGGGGTCCAGGATTACTAGGGTAGCGGGTTGCTCCCAGGAGCAGGGTGAGTGCTCACAACAGGGCACTCGAGGGGTGACCCCAGCGGAAGGGCTGGCCCCCAGGTCAGACAGGGGTCACCCCCATCCTGTTGGGCCTGAGTTAGGGTTTTCAGGGAGGCTGAGGGCAGTTATGACAAAGGCTGAAGGGCAGTTTTCAGGGACGCTGAGGGGCAGTCTTCACAGAGGCTGTGGTGTAGTTTTCAGGGAGACAGGGGGACTTTTAAGAGAACCTGAGGGGCAGTTTTCAGGGAGGCTGAGGGGCAGGTTTCAGAGATGCTGTGGGGCCATTTTCACAGAGGCTGTGGGGCAGTTTTCAGAGAGTTTGAGGGGTATGTTTCAGAGAAGCTGGGGGGCAGTTTTCAGAGAGTTTGAGGGGCAGATTTCAGAGAAGCTGCAGGGCAGTTTTCAGGGAGGCCACAGGTAGTTTTGAGGGAGGCTGAGGGGCAGTTTTCAGGGAGGCTGTGGGGCAGGTGTCAGAGAGGCTGAGGGTCAGGTTTCAGAGAGACTGAGCGGCACTTTTCAGAGACACTGTGGGGCAGATTTCAGGGAGGCTATGGGGCAGTTTTCACAGAGAATGAGGGGCAGTTTTCACAGAGGCTGTGGTCTAGTTTTCAGGGAGGCTGATGGGTAGTCTTCACAGAGGCTGTGGTGTAGAGTTCAGGGAGACTGAGGGGGAGTTTTAAGAGAACCTGAAGGACAGTTTTCAGGGATTCTGTGGTGTAGTTTTCACGGAGACTGAGGGGCCATATTTAGAGAGGCTGATGGGCAGTTTTCGGAGAGGCTTAGGTGTAGTTTGCAAAGAGGCAGTGGGGCAGTTTTCACAGAGCCTGCGTTGTAGTTTTCAGAGAGACTATCGTGCAGTTTTCCCCGAGACTGAGGGGCAGTTTTTGAGAGGCTGAGGGCAGTTTTCACAGAGCCTGAGGTGTAGTTTGCAGACAGTGAGGGGGCAGTTTCCAGAGAGGCTGCAGGGCAGGTTTTGTAGAGGCTGTGGGGCAATTTTCACCGAGGCTGAGGTGTGGTTTTCAGGGAGGCTCAGGGGCAGTTTTCGCAGAGGCTCTGGGGTAGTTGTCAGGGAGGCTGATGGCCATTTTTCGCAGAGGCTGAGGTGTTGTTTTCAGGGAGACGCAGGCGCCGTTTTCACGGAGCCTGAATTGTGGTTTTCAGAGAGACTATGGTGCAGTTTCAGGGAGGCCGATGTGTAGTTTTCAGGGAGACTGACGGGCAGTTTTAAGAGAGGCTGAGGGGCAGTTTTCAGGGAGGCTGTGGGGCAGGTTTCTGAGATGCTGTGGGGCCGTTTTCAGAGAGTTTGAGGGGTATGTTTCAGAGAAGCTGGGGGGCAGTTTTCAGGGAGGCTGTGGGGCAGGTTTCAGAGAAGGTGCAGGGCAGTTTTCAGGGAGGCCACAGGTAGTTTTGAGAGAGGCTGAGGGGCAGTTTTCAGGGAGGCTGTGGGGCAGATTTCACAGAGACTGAGGTGGTGTTTTCAGGGATGCTGAGGGGCAGTTTTCAGAGAGTTTGAGGGGCACTTTTCAGAGAGTCTCAGGGGCAGTTTTCAGAGAGGCTGTGGGGCCGTTTTCCGGGAAGCTGAGGGGCAGTCTTCACAGAGGCTGTGGTGTAGTTTTCAGGGAGACAGGGGGACTTTTAAGAGAACCTGAAGGGCAGTTTTCAGGGATTCTGAGGTGTAGTTTTCACGGAGACTGAGGGGCCATTTTTAGAGAGGCTGAGGGGCAGTTTTCTGAGAGGCTGATGTGTAGTTTTCCCAGAGACTCGGGCGCAGTTTTCAGAGAGGCTGAGGGGCGGTTTTCAGGAAGCCTGTGGGGCAGGTTTCAGAGATGCTGTGGGACCATTTTTGAGAGGCTGAGGTGGAGGCTTCACAGAGGCTGTGATGTCGTTTTGAGGGAGACTGATGGGGGGTTTTACGAGAACCTGAGGGGCAGTTTTCAGAGAGGCTGTGGGGCAGCTTTCAGAGATATTGTGGGGCCGTTTTCACAGAGGCTGTGGGGCAGTTTTCAGAGAGTGTGAGGGGCAGATTTCAGAGAAACTGCAGGGCAGTTTTCAGGGAGGCCCACAGGTTGTTTTGAGGGAGGCTGAGGGACAGTTTTCAGAGAGACTGAGCAGCACTTTTCAGAGACCCTGTGGGGCAGATTTCAGGGAGGCTGTGGGGCAGTTTTCACAGAGTCTGCGTTGTAGTTTTCAGAGAGACTGTCGTGCAGTTTTCCCAGAGGCTGATGTGTAGTTTTCACCGAGACTGAGGGGCAGTTTTCGAGAGGCTGAGGGCAGTTTTCACAGAGGCTGAGGTGTAGTTTGCAGACAGTTAGGAGGCAGTTTACAGAGAGGCTGCAGGGCAGGTTTTATAGAGGCTGTGGGGCAGATTTCACAGACGCTGTGGGGCAGGTTTCAGGGAGGCCAAGGGCCAGTTTTCAGGGAGGCTCAGCGGTAGTTTTTGCAGAGGCTGAGGGGCAGTCTTCACAGAGGCTGAGGGGTAGTTTTCATGGAGACTGAGGGGCAGTTTTAAGAGAGGCTGAGGGGCAGTTTTCGGGGAGGCTGTGGGCCAGGTTTCAGAGATGCTGTGGGGCCGTTTTCACAGAGGCTGTGGGGCAGTTTTCAGAGAGTTTGAGGGGTATGTTTCAGAGAAGCTGCAGGGCAGTTTTCAGGGAAGCCCACAGGTAGTTTTGAGGGAGGCTGAGGGGCAGTTTTCAGAGAGACTGAGCAGCACTTTTCAGAGACACTGTGGGGCAGTTTTCAGGGAGGTTGTGGGGCAGTTTTCACAGAGGCTGTGGTGTAGTTTTCAGGGAGACAGGGGGACTTTTAAGAGAACCTGAAGGGCAGTTTTCAGGGATTCTGAGGTGTAGTTTTCACGGAGACTGAGGGCCCATTTTCAGAGAGGCTGAGGGCCAGTTTTCGGAGAGGCTGAGGTGTAGCTTCCAAAGAGGCAGTGGGGCAGTTTTCACAGAGCCTGCGTTGTAGTTTTCAGAGAGACTATCGTGCAGTTTTCCCCGAGACTGAGGGGCAGTTTTTGAGAGGCTCAGGTGTAGTTTGCAGACAGTTAGGGGGCAGTTTCCAGAGAGGCTGCAGGGCAGGTTTTGTAGAGGCTGTGGGGCAGTTTTCCCAGAGGCTGAGGTGTGGTTTTCAGGGAGGCTCAGGGACAGTTTTCAGGGAGGCTGTGGGGCAGGTTTCAGGGAGGCCAAGGGCCAGTTTTCAGGGAGGCTGAGCGGCAGTTTTCGCAGAGGCTCTGGGGTAGTTGTCAGGGAGGCTGATGGCCATTTTTCGCAGAGGCTGAGGTGTTGTTTTCAGGGAGACGCAGGCACCGTTTTCACAGCGCCTGAATTGTGGTTTTCAGAGAGACTATGGTGCAGTTTCAGGGACGCGATGTGTAGTTTTCACGGAGACTGACGGGCAGTTTTAAGAGAGGCTGAGGGGCAGTTTTCAGGGAGGCTGTGGGGCAGGTTTCTGAGATGCTGTGGGGCCGTTTTCAGAGAGTTTGAGGGGCAGATTTCAGAGAAGCTGCGGGGCAGTTTTCAGGGAGGCCCACAGGTAGTTTTGAGGGAGGCTGAGGGGCAGTTTTCAGATAGTCTCAGGGGCAGATTTCACAGAGCTGTGGGGCAGGTTTCAGGGAGGCCAAGGCCCGTTTTCAGGGAGGCTGAGCGGCAGTTTTTGCAGAGGCTGAGGTGTAGTTTTCAGGGAGACTGAGGGGCAGTT